ATATTCAAATGAAATAATTTTTTCCGTCAATTAATCGCGCTCTTTTTTTAATTAATCATTTTGTAGTACACAGTGGGTTATTATGTATGTGTTTGTTGTACATGTATACGAAAGCTATAAATAGAATGATGACCTTAACATTATAAAAATCCGAAATTCCATTTATAGAAGCAGTTTTAGTTTAACGAAATGGTTATTCGTGTCGCGCAACTGGAGAATTTTGAAGGAAATGGTGTGGGAACATATTCAAATAATTGCATTCGTTGTAAATCTATAGAAAACATTTAAGTATGCCATTTTTTACGAATTGTTATATCATTTTATAAGTCTTTTCCGTAGGTTCTTTTCGGTTTCTTTTTGACGGCTCTGATTGCACTTTTACCGACATTTACTTGACATTTTTACCATGAATATTTAAATCGACCAAGTTCATAACTTTTTATGTCGCTTTTATTTTTACGTTGTGTGACAGCAGTAGTATACTATAAAACCTATTCGCTGTTCAAGTCTCTTTTTCTAAAATCGACCCTGATTTCCCTATTGATTTTGACTACATTTAGTACGTTCCAAAGAAAAAACCACATGAACTTGAAATTCTATCAAATCACCAATATTTATGATAATATCCAAAAATACCCCTATATAGTATAAATAAACTTATACCATATGGGGAGTCTATTTTGGATATCTGATTATCATTGACCTTGTGTATTTTGGAAATTATCGTTAATATTGATAAAATTTCCTGTGGAAAAAAACAAGTACATTTTTTGTAATATTCTAATCTCAATCATGCCTACCAAAGTTCATAATGAACAATGTCTTTCGTCCACCCATTTATATATGATACACAATTCTGGTAAAAAAACAATTAAAAATTGAAAAGTTTATAAGAGTATCTGGTCATCATATGTCTACTAGTTCATCTTCACTTGCTGCATTTCTTGCTTGGACCTCCTTTGATGCTTTGCATCAATGCTTTTCTTGTCATAATTATTATGTGTTAGCCAATTCCACAACTGTCAACAGTATCTTCCAAAGTTCAAGTTCATAGATAATAATATGTGTACAAATAAGGACCATAGGTATCGCGGTAATTGCCGCAGCAAATTGAGATACAAAGTATTGGAACAAAATCGAATATGAAAGATAGCATAATTTTTGGTGAGTGCAAGTTAAAGGAACTTGCTTAAAACCTTAAACAGATCAGGATTTCCTCTCAAGAAAGGTCTCAATTTAATGTAAAATTTTTGCACCGTTGATGTTTATATGTAAATTATAAAAGGCGTAACCAAAGAAAAGGGCAATAACTAAACAAGCTTATGGAAAATATATTCCATGTGATCAGGTCTGGGAAGTTCACAAACAACACTGATTTGTATTGTTTATTTTCAAATAAAACTACTGCAATTAGAATGTTAACACTTAAAGCATATTCTCACACAAAGGAATGCATACAAAAGATGTTAGAAAAAAAATTAACATCTGTTAATAATGCAGGGTTAATAAATTAATAATCCAATGCCAAAATTCAAGGACTTTTTGAGCGCTTTTTAAGCAAGTTTTCCCATTTTTCAAGCACATTTGATGCACATATATCGACACAATCTTCAACCTAAGAAGGAAAATTTATTTACTATTCTTTGTTGAAAACGCATTTTCTGGCCACAATTTTAAGGATGTTATAAAAGAACAACAATGAGCGCATCAAATACAAATTAGTTCCAAACAACTGCAATTCGTCCACGTACTGTTACTTTGAACAAACATTTAATTGATTTTGATACTAAATTGGATATATTCTTTTTATTTTGGTAACTGTTGATTTTTATCGACATTATGTCATTCAATCATTTTCAAGCACATGTTCATCAAATTTAAGCACTTTTTAAAAGGGTAATCAAATTCAAGGATTTTTAAGCACTTTTTTTTTTACATTTTCAAGCACTTTTTAAGAAAGAGACTCAAATTTAAGCACTTTTTATGACTGTACGAACCCTGGTTATACAAACTGATCGCCAACCATCTAACAAACCAGAAAAGGTGTGAAAAGATATCTCCAGATCAAAGGTGTCAAATGAATTAATGGTCTTCGTCTTGTTTATGGTAAAAAGTTTTCAAATTAATCTTTACATACCTCATAAAATCTTCGCCTAATGGAACAAAAGGGCCATGATGGCCCTGAAATCGCTCACCTGGATATAAGCCCCTCGCGAATTTTGACACAGGGGCTTTTATTTGAACAAACGTGGTTGACACCCATTTGAAGATGTTTCATGATAAATATTTAAGAAGATTGTTTTAGTTTTTGCTATACATATATCCACCCCTCTTGACTGGGCCAATTTTTCCCCAGGACTTTTATTTGAACAAACTTAGTAGACACTCACTAAAAGATAATTCATGCTAAATATCTAACCTCTTGCTCTTAAGTTTTTTAACACAGACGATCTTTTAAGTTTTTACTATAAACCATATGAGGAAAATCAATGCTCCCCAGGGCAGGGCCAATTTTAACCCCAGGGCCCTTATTTGAACAAAAATGGTAGACCACCATTAGAAGATCCTTATTTGAACAAAAATGGTAGACACCCATTAGAAGATCCTTATTTGAACAAAAATGGTAGACACCCATTAGAAGATGTTTCATGCTAAATATCTTAGCTTTAGCTCTTAGGGTTTTTTAAAAGACGATTTTTTGAAAGTTTTTACTAATTCATCATATATTATTAATTTACACGTAAGTTCTTTATTTATCCTTCTTATAACTGACGCTTTATTTTTTAAAGGCCGAAGGTTACGAGAGGATTTTGTAATCGTCACTTTATGTAGCATTTTCATAAATAAGTAAGACGTCCTTAATATTGTCCGTCCTTCATTTTATATATTTCACTTAAACATAGTTACATTCATGTCTTTTGAATTTTACATTATATAAACTATAAATCAATAACCATATATATATCAAGTTGAACATCTAAGTAAAACGACATAACAAAAATAGTATCATTAGTACACTAACTGCGCGTTTGATACCATAGTTTAACAAATGCTTTATATTAAACACAAAACATATACTGTGATTTTATAAAAGAGATTTTAACTGCTGAAACATGTCTAATGAAACGTTATTCATACTATATACTAGTTAAATGGTTAGTTTCAAAATGATTGTCCATCTTCTTTCCTGATTTGATTCAATTTCAGCACATAAATAACAAACCAAAACAAAGAACGTTACTATCCTTGACAAGACAATTGATATTCGTATAAAATTTTCTATGAAACATTACCTTTACTATTATTAGACTATATACATATATAAGGGAAAAACAATGACCCCTGGGGCGGTCAATTTTGACCCCAGGGCTTTTATTTGAACAAACTTGGTAGAAACCCACTAGAAGATGTTTCATTCTTAAAAGCTAAGCTCTAGCTATTTGGGTTTTTTAAAAGTAGATTTTTTAAGTTTTTACTATATACAAATAAGGAAAATCAATGACCCCCCGGGCGGGGCCAATTTTGACCCCAGGGCATTTATTTGAACAAACTTTGTTGACACTGCCTTGATGATGTTTCATGCCAAATATTAAAGCTTTAACTGTTTCGGTTTTCTAAAAGATGATATTTTAAGCTTTTTTTCTTTCGGTTGCCATGGCAACCAAAGTTCTGCTTGGAATTAAATTCTTTTTGACTTCAAGTTGACTACCAAAGGAACATTCTTGTGTAAAGTTAGCATGAAATTGGCTTAGATGTTTATGAGGAGATGTCGTTTAAAGTAAAAGTTTACGGACTGACGAACGCCGGACGGAAAGCGCTCACAAAAGCACACAATGTCATAATGGGAGGTAATACTTTGCACTGCAGGTTTTTTGTTTTATTTAAATATACATGTATATAATTACATCCAGCTAACATTGAGTTTAAATAAAACATTGCAAAACACATACTACGCCTAACTGCATGTGTTTTTCTTGATTTATATGTATTTTAAATTTTCATTTCAAAATTCATGCAGTGTATTTCTCACGTACACTGTATAACACGCAAGGTGACAAACTAATGCAGACGATGTGCCAATGTAGAGAACTCGTTAAAATTCTAAAAAAATATGTATGGGACGACAAATATATGTATGTTATAAGCGGTACCTCGTTAAAACCGATCTCGTTGTAAGTGGAGTAGACTTATCTTAAGTAGATGACTTCAGTCACAGCATTCCTCCTCAATAAGATTTTTCAACCTATGAAATTTCATGTTGACATCTCAAAGACTTTTTGAGTTATGCTCCACTCAGGTGAAAAATTAAGTATGGGAAATAACAAAGTGCAATAACTCAAAAATTATGAAAAAGTAGAGTTATCCTGAGTGAGATCTTTCCACCTATGAAATTTCATGTTGATATCTCAAAGGCTTTATGAGTTATGCTCTTGACAAAAATTAAGTTTGAACTAGAAATGTGTCCATAGGACACAGGTGCCCCAACACTCCACTGTTTTGTCAATCTTATGAATCTAGGTCAAATATTTTTGGGCTACATGTGTCACACGAGGAAAACTAAACTAAAAATCTTTTACTATAAGTAAAGGGAAATAACTTTACAAAAACTGAATATATTCACAAGCGAGCCCCAAGGTGCATAAGTACACATGCTGACCAACATTCTTGTAAACTTTCAGGCCTACAAGTCAAAAACGTTTTGAGCTATGCATGAACAAGCTGAAAATTGCAAATTTATACTACTGTAAGTCAAGAGCAATAACTCTAACAAAACTGGAAACAAGATTGCATTTGTAAAAAATGCCATGCCACCGCATAAATACAACACTAAAAAGTAATGTAGGAACACATTTTTTTTTGTTTCTATACAGATTGCCATAATGCATAGATCACTTATCTATCTGTTACTATAAGATTAGTACCTTCAGACAATAAGATTTTTAATTTTTTACTTTATGACATAGTGACTGAAAATCAATGATCCCCAGGGGCGGGGCCAATTTTGACCCCAGAGCTTTAATTTGAATAATCTTGCTAAAGGTTCACTACACAATGTTTACTGCAAAATGTCTCACCTCTAGCCTTTGTCAATTCGAGAAGATGATTTTTTAAAGTTTTTACTACATGGATATACATGTAAGGAAAACCTATGACCCCAGGGCAGGGCTAGTTTTGACACTAGAGGCAAAATTTGAACAACTTTGGTAGAGTACCTATACATGATATCATATACCAAATATCAAAGCTCTAAGCCTTGTACCTTCAGACAATAAGATTTTTTAATTTTTTACTATATGTTCATAGTGAAAATCAATGACCCCCGGGGTGGGGCCAATTTTGACCCCAGGGCTATAATTTGTTCAATCTTGCTAGAGGTTCACTACACAATGTTTCATGCAAAATATCTAATCTCTAGCCTTTGTCAGTTTAGAGAAGATGATTTTTTAAGTTTTTACTATATACATATGAGGAAAACCTATGACCCCCGGGGCAGGGCTAATTTTGACACTAGAGGCAAAATTTTAACAACTTTGGTAGAGTACCTATAGATAATAACACATACCAATCAAACCAAATATCAAACCTCTAAGCCTTGTACCTTCAGACAATACGATTTTTTTGATTTTTTACTATATGTACATATTGAAAATCAATGACCCCCCAGGGCGGGGCCAATTTTGACCCCAGGGCTATAATTTGTACAATCTTGCTAAAGGTTCACTACACAATGTTTCATGCAAAATATCTAACCTCTGGCCTTTGTGAATTTAGAGAAGATGATTTTTTGAAGTTTTTACTATATACATATATGAAAAACCTATGACCCCCGGGGTGGGGCTCATTTTGACACTAGAGGCAAAATTTGAACAACTTTGGTAGAGTACCTATAGATAATAACACATACCAAATATCAAACCTCTAAGCCTTGTACCTGCAGACAAGAAGGTATTTTAAGTTTTTACTATATGTACATATAGTGAAAATCAATGACTCCCAGGGCGGGCCGATTTTGACCCCAGGGCTATTATTTGAACAATCTTGATAGAGGTCTACCAGACAATGCCTTATGCAAAATTTCTAAGCTCTAGGCCTTTGGGTCTTTACAACAAGATTTTTTAAATTTATTCTTATAATTCCTTTTGGTTGCCATGGCAACCAGATTTCTGCATTGAATGAAATTCTTTGAACAACTTTGAAAGCCCTTCACCCAAGGATCAATCCTGCCAAGTTTGGTTGAAATTGGACTAGTGGTTTTTCACAAGAAGATGTTTTAAGTTCACTATATAATCTATATAACACACACACACACAAACAAACACACACACAGGTGAATCGCTATATGCCACCGCATCGCAGATGCTGCGGTGGCATAAAAAACACATGCAAAATCCCAGGTGCATAGCTTCACACTGATGTTGATCATTATTCCTGCAAAGTTGATTGATTCTAACTCAAGCACTCAATGAACAAATAACACAACATAATGAATCGGGTTTTACTTAGTCAAGGGCAATAACTCTACAAATACTGGATAAATCCAAAAGCGAAATCCATGGTACACAACTTCATATGCTGACCAACATTCCTGTTAAGTTTCATGACTCTAGGTTAAATACATTTTGAGGTACGCACGACACAAATTGAAAATTGCAAATTTTCACTTAGTCAATGGCAATAACTCTGACAAAAAATCAATTCACAAGCGAAACTCCAGATGCAAAACTTCACATGCTGATCAACATTCCTGTAAGGTTTCATGACTCTAGGTCAAATACTTTTTGAGTTACGTGCATCACAAGTTGAAAAATGCAAATGTTTACTAAGTCAAAGGCAATAACTCTAAAAATACTTAATATATATGCACAATAATACCCAGGTGCACAACTTCACTTGCTGATCAACATTTCTGTAAAGTTTCATGACTCTAGGTCAAATACTTTTTGAGCTATGTGCGACACAAAATGAGAATGGACGGACGGATGTACGGAGGGCCACGGGTAAATTTAAAGCCCCCCTTCAAAGTGGGGGCACAAAAATAATAAAGAGCAATTACCTTAAAAACATATGCAGGTTAGAGTTATCACTCTTGTGCACTGCACTCCTCCTCAATATGATCTATACACCTATAAAGTTTCAAGTTGATACCGCATATACTTTTTGAGATATGCTCTGGACAAAAATATGGGTCGGACGTTCCTACATTTTGGGTTTAGGGGCTATTTTCTTTGTTATTTTCTTTGTTTTCTTAAGGGCTACACTAGCCCATGAACCCTTTGATCACGGAATGAACCTATTGTTCTCTTTTGTTCTCTTTACCGTTACATAGCCCCTAAACCCAAATGTTTGCTCGGACGGACGGACGGACGGACAAAACTGCGACTATATAAATATACATATTTTAAGGTGTATTGCTTCGTATTTGCTTTGTAAATTGATCATCTGCCTTCTTCATGTTTTCTCTACGCATGTGGTTCAAACGTCCACGTTAAAACTTCATTTTTGTCATAGCCTATATAAAACTTTGAAAAGCAATATTTATAATAATATATTGTTAACATGAAATAAAGGTGACGAAACTTTAAAATGAGTTATATCATATATCACCCCAATATCGTTCAGAGCATAGATTTTTTTGATACGTAATCTTTCTTAATCACTTATTGATAATTTTGTTACGGTGGAAGCTTTTGACGTACAGTGGCATTTAAAGAGAATGGAAGTCGTTAGGTAGATGGTCAGCATTTTTACCTTTTAAAGTATAATTAACGGTATTCACTGTTTCACACCGTAGATAATGTAATGAAACCCGAAACGTCAGAACAAAAAAATAACACTTATAAACACATTTGGATGTACATGTAAATGTTAAAAGTCTCTTAATGCATGATTTCATGTTGGCATGTTATATTGACAATAGGAATCATATACTTGATGTATACACTGCATTTTGATCTTAAAATGTAAAATATATATATTTTTGGGGAAAAAATCGGGAAAAAGGGCGATTCATCTAGAGCAATTAAAGATAAAGTTTGAAAATGAAAATTGCTTGCATGTTTGGTTTGATTGATTCTGTTAATAAAATATATTCGCAAGTGAGACAATGCCTTTCTATAAAATTTTTAAAACATCTTAATATTTAAATAATAAAAAGCAGTCGATATTTACATAAACATATAAATTATATCTTGATGCATTTCGATTTGTTTTGTTAACTTTGTGTTATAATTTTTATTAAAAAATATTTATTTCTATTTTCATTAATAAAATAACCTTTTGACATGTCAGGCAACTTTAAGGTTTCTACTTATTTATTCTTATAACCATACTTTATGATCAGAATTGCCATTGTCGACCATGTGTTACAATGACATATAATGGACATTGGTTATAATGAATGACAAAGTTTTTGTCTGTTCCGTGACCGTGAATTAGAAGTGATTAAATAGACCCGTCAGGAAAGAATGTACAATAGGATAACAGAAATATCTTATCAAAAATCAGTTTAGAATACTTAAAATGAGCTGTGTTAATCAATCGAGTCTGCATGCACTGTTGGCATGTATTACATTGTAACCTGTTATAGGATAATTCTATATAATGTTGATACAATTTTTTATACTTATTGTAAAAGGTTGATCAAATGAAGTAAAAGCACGCAAATATATCTTAAGTCAGTTGATTTCCTATAATATTTACAGGATTGACATTGATTTAAGTAGATCTTTCATTGGTCATTTTGATATTACAAACGGAAATCTGGGAATCTCATTGTCCATTCTAAAATAAGTAAAATAATAATCTTCCTGATATGGTATGCGCGTCTATTTTTTCTATTAAAGAAGTTCCGGAAACAAAAAAGAATCTTATATTCTCATATTAAGTTCTTCTTGTTACGTTTCACATATATTTAAGCTCTGTTGGACTTTGCTTGCTCCCATAAAATATTTTACACTGCTTTTAAAATCTCGACCTTCGTAAGTAAAATACTCCTTTAAATAAAATAAAGAAAAAATTCTATCAGAAAGTCATATTAATAACCAGACAACATCACAGTTTTAAAGGAAGAATAATCATTGATGCATTCATTTTATTTTCAAGAAACAATTAAGAAGGAAATCAAATGATAAGCGAAGCATTAAGCTTACAAGAACAGAAATAATCAGCAGATTGTAAACATTAAAGGGAAAGACAAGGTTAGAATAAAAACTTGATTTCAGAAAAAGAATACTATAAATAATAAATCTGCAAATTTTCTGCCGCCAAATAATAATATTAAACGAATGATAACAAAATTTAGATCGCTAAATCACCGATTTCTACAAATCAGTAAGCGCGGCCATGTTTGTGTATTGGCCGTATAAAAACAGGTGCGCGTGATGTCATTTCCCCACATCTTTAGATTTATGATAAATCTAATTGAATCGTAGGGAAATATTAATATAATAAAGTATTGACCAGACAATTTAATTTTTACAGGAGGTGTAGAGGAGATTTTTTATGGTTCAAAATACGTAACAATATCAAAAAAAAAATAAAGAAAGAAAAAAACAAAATCAACGTCTACCGGTCGCACCACTTCAGGCCAGTGATGCCCGTTACTCCAAACAATGCTATGTTCATTAAAGTCTCATCTTAATGTAATTAAACAATATTTCACAGATTTAATAAAAACACATGTTATTTTTTAACAAAGTTTCACAATCAAATAATGCGATTAAATAAACAAACGCACCAACGAATAATTGGCTGTTAATTATTGAACGGCCGATAATTATCATTATTATAAAAATCCTACAAAAACGTGTTCTTAATAGTACATGTAATTAAAATTTTGCAGTTTGATTCTGACTTTCAAATTTAAAGGTGTGTGATAATTGATGTACACATTTAAAAAATATAAGCAACTCTTTTGAAAAGTAAATTGTTAACATGTCTGTCAACGTATGATGCTGCGCATCGTAATCGTAGCCTAATATTAACTGCAGGCAAAACATTTTTATTGGCTGCTCAAAAATCTAATTTGCATAATTTATTCACACAATTGCTGGTCCTTACTACTTATGCACTGTCCATTTTAATTGTTCCTAATTTGCACCAAATGTTCCTGTCACACTGTGTACTGACGATTTTTATTGCTCCTTGTATGCCTCTGTGCCGACAGACCTTTTGATCATGGCACAATTTTGCCCTGATTGGTTAATCACCCTTGTCAAATATTCTAATGACGAAATAGACATCTATTTTTTACGCTTCATCAGTGAACTGAATGACCTTAGGGAAATTAAGTTCCACACCTATTCCAATTATACCTGTAAAATACAGCATGTCATAAAATAGCAACACTTTTTTTTTCAGTTTACCAATAACCATTTTAGATATTAAGTAGATTTATGATTTTTTGTTTTATTGGATTAAATTTACGGTAGTAGAAAAATGCGTATCTGTGTGGAAAGAAATTGGGTAAGTAGATAACGTGGAAAAAAGCTATAGGGAAATGGATAAACCGAGAATATGCGTAATTACAGGGGAATGGGCAACCCGTTGCTGTTTGGTACCAGTTTTGACTGGGTGCCTAAATAACCTAACGGACAGTTTTGTTTTCATACGATATTAGTCTGGCTGCCGATTTTTTCTGCGCCATTCTCATTTTTAGCGTCAATGGCGGAAAATCGCGTCCTCAGCAGATCTCTGCATATTGGATTTAGTTGATATTTTACCTGAAAAAAAAGATACATGACCGGCGATGTACCCTATTCGGACAGCTTGTCTAGCGACAATTAAGTACAAAATAAAAAAAGGATATATCGTCAATTTGAAGAAGTTTCTCATAGTACCCAAAATAAATTGATGGTTTATCTTTGAAAATTAAGCAGTCGTTGCTTAAATCATGTGGTGGGATCATCAGCAAGCTTGAAAATCGGACAAATGATAATTAATGTCGCGGCGTCTTCAATTTAATTAATCAAAGCAATTCAGTTCCATATGATGTTTTCA